TTAGGTGGAATTATGGCTAATCAAATATGGGAGTATGGGAGAGGAGGGACCTATGCTGAGTCTCAGACATCCCACATGGGGGACTTGATCATGGGGCCATTCATCTAGGTAGTTACAGGAATGAAGACCTAAGAGAAGAAAACATGATGTTTCCTTTTGCAGATGGATCCTGATGGAGATATCTAGTAGATATCTAGGCTGTATGTAGAACTAGAAGGGCAAAAGTGAGTTTGAGCTGGAACACCGGTTAGTATAAAAAACACACATTATTGTCTGGCCTGCTAAAGGGAGAAGTGGGGTTTATTTGTTTTGCTTGGTTTTGTTCTTGACATTTAAAATATATGAGTTTTATTTTCATACCAAAACTATAAAGAAAAAAAATAGTTCATAGTCTTAATACTCAAATAAGCCCTACTGAAAGAGAGGAAGGATAATATGTATTGTTAGAAAATACTAACCGTTCAGAAAAGTAAAAAATGAAAAGTATAGGACTCCCACCCCACCCCCTCCCCAGTCCTCCATTCCCTCAACCACTGTTAACACTTCATTGTATTTCCTTCTAGGAAAAAAAACAACACATGCACCCATTGGATTCTTTGTATTCCCAGAGGGGTCCTGCAGTATACAAGCATTTAAGAGGCCTATTATATTGGGCAGATTAACCTTCTCATTGCTTTGTCAGGCTTTACAAACCCATCTGAACTCATAGGGTGGAGCTGTGAGCTCACTGGGGGAAGGGCAGGATCTGCATTCCTCTAGCTCAGGTGTTGGGGCTGGCTCCAGATAGGTGCCCAATTAAAAATAAGTGAGGGGCGCCTGGGTGGCTCAATTGGTTAAGCGTCCGGCTTTGGCTTAGGTCAGGATCTCACTGTTAGTGAGTTCAAGCCCCATGTCAGGCTCTGTGCTGACATCTCAGAGCCTGCAGATTCTGTGTCTCCCTCTCTCCCTTTGTTCCTCCCTCACTCATGCTCTCTCTCTGTCCCTCAAAAATATAATACATTAAAAAAAAAAGTGAATGAGCTGTTGCTGCACCTTGGAAATTGGAAGAGCCTTTGCCTAAAGTTCCAGTTGGTTAAGTGACTTATTCACCAAATGTTTTCAGGGTCCTAAGTGTGCAGTGCTGTGTGTGAGTGTGAATGTGTGTGTGCGTGTGTGTGTGTGTGTGTGTGTGGTGAGAAGGGAGGGCAGAGGACTCAGCTGAAGGGCAGAACTGGAAAGGCCAGCCGTCTTCTTCCAACCATCTTGATTTTTGAGGTGGACACTGAGGTCCAGAGTGAGATTATGATTTGTGAAAGCCACGTGGCCTGTTGGCACAGCCGGCCCTGGAACTCCTGGAGGAGTGGGGGGTGTAGGAGCACCTAGTGGTATGTTGGAGGGGTTGCTGAGGTACCCTTGCTCCTTTCTACCCCTTCCCCTCCTACCAAAAATGTAGCAACAATCCCCAACTCCAAATCCCTGGACAGAGGCAACACCTTGAGATGCCCTATGCAGCCCTTGGCCCTTGACCTGTGTGTAATGGGCAGGTTGGTTGACATCCTATACCTAATAGAGGCAGCTGGCTGGTATGGAGGCAGAGCACTGGACTGGGAATGAGGAAGCCTAGATGCTGGTGCCAGCTTGGCCACACCCACCCTATTGCTGTGGACCAGTCACATCCTCTCTCCTTTGAATGTGGGGATGGGTCTAACTAAATCTCCAAGGTCCTTCTTAGCATTATTGATCTCATTGTAAGATGCAATATTTAATCAATTATAGGAAATCAGATTTTGGAATTCTAGGATTCTAAAATCCTGGTTTCCCACAATTCCATTGATGTTGCTTGAGGTCTCTTACTCTGTGCAGAATTCTCTATTGTAAGACCTGACTTGTTGTGTCATAGGGAGGGGCTCCATATATGGTTTTCAACTTGACACCAGAGCCAAAGAGGCCAGACCCCTCCCTTCAGAGAGTGTGAAGACAGACAGGTCCCTTGGAGCCCACCCAGGTCCCCAGAAAACAGCTCAGAGCAGTGAACTGAGATGAAATGCAGAGACCACCTCAGGGTCCCTGCTGTACCCTTCCAGCAGTCCTGGGAAATAGTCCAGCCGGGCGGAACAACCTGGTTTTGTACAGGGGAAACATTCAGTCAAGGGAACTGAACCACTGCTACCAATCACCCTGAAGTCCTGTTCTTTGTGCAGTATTTTTTCTATACACTGGACAGGGATCCCTGAGACACTACTGTCTGTGAGGGGAGCCCAGAAGGCAGGGGAATTTAGGGGAATGGGTCTAAACCTTTACAAGGCTGTAAAGATCTGGGAGCTTGCTAGAAATCTGGGCGTTGGGGCTCTGTCCCCAGACAGATTTACAGATTCAGTTAGAAAATACTGGGGCAGGGCCGCCTGGGTGGCTCTTCAGTTAAGCCTCAGACTTAGGCTCAGGTCATGACCTCAGGTTAGTGGGTTTGAGCCCCGCGTTCGGCTCTGTGCTGACTGCCAGCTCGGAGCCTGGAGCCTGTTTCAGATTCTGTATCTCCCTCTCTCTGTGACCTTCCCTGGCTCGCGCGCTCTCTCTCTCTCTCTCTCTCAGAAATAAATAAAAAGCATAATAATAATTAAAAAAAAATGAAAATACTGGGGCACCTGGATGGCTTAGTTGGTTGAGTCACCCACTCTTGATTTTGGCCCAGGTCATGATCTTGAGGTTAGGGGGACTGAGTCCTGCCTCCAGCTCTGTGCTGACTGTACAGAACCTGCTTGGGATTCTCCCTATCCCTGCTCTCTCTGCCCCTCCCCCGCTCTCTCTCTCAAAATAAATATTGTTTTTTGAAAAAGAAAATATTGACCTGGGCATCTGTTTCTGTTTGTCTTTTTAAAAAAATAAACATCTTTTCGGGGCACCTGGGTGGCTCAGTCGGTTAAGCCTCCGACTTCGGCTCAGGTCATGATCTTACTATTTGTGGGTTCGAGCCCCGCGTCGGGCTGTCTGCTGTCGGCTAGCTCAGAGCCTGGAGCCTGTTTCAGATTCTGTGTCACCCTCTCTCTCTGATCCTCCCCTGTTCACTGTCTCTCTCTCAGAAATAATTAAATATTAAAAAAAAAAAAGTTAAAAAACACCTTCTTTTTCTTTTCTTTTTTTTTGTTTTTGTTTTTGTTTTTGTGGCTTTTTTTTGTTTTGTTAGTAAGCTCTATGCCCAAAGTGGGGCTGGAACTCAGGATCCTGAGATCAAGAGTCTCATGCTCTGTGCCAGCCAGGCGCCCCTGTTTTTGTCTTTTAACTTTGCAGTTTGAGACCCTCTAGGGTGAAAACAAAAACGTAAGAAAAGTGGTCTGAGATCCCTGGGTTCGCGTCCCAACGTTGCCGCTGACTGGCTATGAAATGCGTGCAAGTGAGCTGCTTGGATCCTGCAAGAAAACTTTAAAGCACTTTGCACCGCGTGCAGATTTCGCCGGTCCCATCTATGAGAAAACGGACCTCAGAGGAGGGAACGGTCCTGCCTCAGTCGCTGGGACAGGCGGGGACACAGCCTGGCTCTCCTGACGCCCAGGGCACTCCGCCGCCCGGCCGGCACAGCTCGGACGACAGAGCCCTGCCTCTCCCGCCTGCGGCGCCGCCCTGCCGCGCAAGGCGGCCGGAGGGCAGCGGGCAGCGCAGGGCTTCGGCAGCCGCCGCCTGTCAAACCCTCCGTCCAGCCCCGCGCCGGGCCCTGCCCAGGCCCCCCAGGCAAGGAGGCCCCGCCCTCGCGCCGCTATTGGTCCCCCAGCGGCAGCCCCAGATAGCCAGTGGCTGGAGCGGCTGTCTGGCAGCTCGGGACCCCGCCCCCGCCCCGGGATGCCGCCCCTCAGGACGCGGCGGCAGCGGCGGCTGCGGAGGCTGCGGCGCCAGTGGCGGCGCGCGGAGCGGTGCTCCCGGCGAGCTGCAGCCGCAGCTGCTAGGTGAGAGGGGGCGCGGCCCGCGACCTGGGAAGTGGGCGGGCGCCAGGGCCTGAGATCCGAGGCTGAGGTCCCAGGGGCGCTCGAATCCCGGGAGCTTTGGAATGGCGCAGGGAGTGCAGAGAGGAAAGGAGAGTTTGGGGGCCCCGGGCCCTTGCTCCATGAGGGATGACGGAGGGGCCGAGACTCTGTGAGAGGGACGCAGCTCGCGTGTTTGTGGAGTGTGAGGCAGTGAGGTTGCTAGTGTTGCTGTGTGAGCGGGTGAATGAAAGCAGTACGTGTGGCACAGTGTGTCCCCAACGTGCATTTGCGGGGGTGTATGGTATGCGTGGGAGCCAGCGTCCAGGGGCGTTACCAACTTTGTGCGGGTTTGGGCGTGTGATGGATTCATTTGCTCTGCTGCGCGTGGGAGTGTGCGTGTCTCTGTGTGCTCGTGATGGGTTCGTGTCGCGGGAGTGAGCGCCCATCATCGGACTCCCATTCTCCTGGCTTAGGGGGTCGTGGGTAAGTCTCAGAGGGTCTGCGCCCCAGGCTGGTGGGTGCACAGTCTGTGGTCCCTACGCGCAGCCGGGTCTCAGGAGCGCTCAGGAGGCGCGCAGCCCTTGACCCACCTGGAGTAGCCTCCGCGGCTTCGCCAGCGCCCTGTCCCCAGGGATCCTAGTTGCCGCCCGCTCCTGCCTCACTGGGTGACACCGCACAGCCACACTCCCCTCTCCAGGCCTCAGTTTCCCCTTTAAAGCGGGCTGGTAGTGGTTGAGGTGGATTTGAGCGGGCAGGTACACCGACTGCCCCGAATGCACTGTGGCGGCGGGTGGCGGGGGCCCTGGACACACCAGAGAAGAAAGTGTGAGCCACTCCTGTGCCAGAAAAGGGGCTTTTGCGGGATCAGGTGGGTGCGTCAGGTTAAAGTAAGTGTAGTGGAGCTAACTCATTTTAGAGACGAGGAATAAACCGAGGGGTGGTGACTTGCCCAAACCTCTCCCCGGACGAGAAAGGGGCCGTTCCGTCGGTTCCTTCTAATGGACGGATGCTTTCTCCCCTCCCCAGGATCCCGGCGCGACCCCCAGCGGCGCGCCCTGCCCCGGCGCCATGCACTGCGAGGTGGCGGAGGCGCACTCAGACAAGAGGCCAAAGGAGGCCCTCGGCGCTCCGGGTCCAGGCCGCGGGCCCACTGGCCTCGGCGGCACCCACATGGCCTTCAGGGTCACCGTGAGCGGCGGCGGCTGCGTGGATGGGGGCCCGCGTGACCTGCTGCCCCGGCCGCCTGCGCCCCCTCCGTGCGCCCACGACCTCCTCCGGCCACGGAGCCCCAGAGACTACGGTCCGTCCAAGGCCACCGCCACCGCCGGGAAGGGTAAGTCTGCCCTCGCCGACGTGTCTGGCCCGAGGTGTGGAGAAATGCGGGCTGCCTGGCCTGGATACTGCACACCTTTGTGCGAATTCTCCAGAGAACTTGGTGGAACTTTCTCCAGTGCTCATCAGTTTCTTTCTAGTTATTTGGGACTCGGGTGTCATTATAAAATGATGCCTGTTTAGGAAGCATCTAATTTTAAATCAGTAAGCCCATTTTGGAGAAGTGTGTGTATAGAAAGTTCAGATTTCATAATTACACTTCTGTATATTTCTGATAAAAGTTGTGTGAAATTTATCAAAATCTTATAAATTAGGGTGACTAGCAACTCGAGTACCTCTGAGCTAGTTGCAGGCATATTTTGAGTTACTCCAATTTCCCTCAGTGACAGAAACCAGAGGCCTTCAGCAAGACCTCTCACCTCTTAGAACGTCAGTTTCCCCATCTGTCAGGTAAGGAATTAATTATATCAGATGATTTCTGGATTCCTGATGGAAAATTTTTATGAATCTATGATCCATCCCGAGTCAAGTTCTGACTTACAAAATGGCTTTTCTGAATTTGAAACTTCAGAAGAAAAATCTTTGGTCAGAATTTCCTTTGCAATAAATACCCTTCTGCTACCCAGTGAAGCTGGTGGGTATAAGGTGCAGATCACAGGAAGGTTTATGGGCTCAAAGTCAGTGATGATGTGGGGATTCTCATGAACCTGTTCTTCTCATCACAGTTAATTATTATTGAGCCATTATTTATAAGTTTCATGCTGACAGATAATTAACCAGAAATTGAGGAAATTGTTAAGATGCTGTGTCCTCCCCTCCCCCTACCTTTTTTTTTTTTTCTCCCTGAGAGAAACCAAGGCTTGGGATTTCGTTATTTTCAGCGTTTGGGACCTCTTGGTTCTATCCAGGTGATTCTCAAGGAAGATGAAAAGTTTATCTGGCTCTATAGACATCACTCCTTTAGCATCAACCCCAGCAATTTAGAAAAGGTAGGGTATCTTGCTTTCAGAGATGAGAGCTTCTTCCAGGTAGAAAATATCCAACTTCTTAATTCCAGGACTGGTAAAATGAAATGAACGCAAACAGTGTTTTTCTTTTTAACAAAAACACCTGATTTCGTAGGAGAGTGCTATTTCTTGTCTCATTTTCAATGTCAGTCCAACAGATAGGGGTCCTGTTAGAAAGGGTAGATACAGAAAAAAAAATGGCTTTACAGTATAATTACGGGGATACACATATAAAGTTCTCTTTCGGTAGGGAGAGAGGAGTAGTGTGCAGCAAAACATGAGTAATATTTGCTGCCCTGAACTCCTTGCCTTTGCCCGGCCCCACACATAATCCTCCCCTAAACAGATACTCTCCTGCAGCATTTTAGTTTTTAAAAAATCATAGCTGTCAACTGAAGATCGAGTTTTCTGCAGACCTGGTGAACGGCTCTCCTAAACATAGTCTTTGTCCCAAGTCTTGGTTAGAGACCTTTCATGTGGACGCTCTGCCTATGATCTTCCTACTTCCATTCTTCCAAACCCCAATTATTTTTATCCATACTCCTCCGCCCCCACCAATGTCTAATATATGAGGTGTTTAAGTCAGGATTGTATTTGAAAAGGACAGAGGAAAATAAAGGGATGGAAGGAACAACTTTTTTCTTTCTACACTAAGGTGGTCATTCTGGCTAAGCGTTTGTAAGAGACTTCCAGACTGTTTTCTTCACAGCCTTCAGCAAGGCTGGTAGGGTAGGATTTATCACACCCATTTGAAAGATGAGGAAACTGAGGCCTGAGAGTGGGGAGGTGTCTCCTGTGTAAAAGGCCACCCAGCAAGTCTGGGTGGGAGTTCTCTGGGCAGCATTTGCTTGCTGACCTGGGCTTGAAGAAGTTTCCAACCTGGCTTCTGTCCTTCTAGAAGCAAGTTCTTTCTCAAGTCGAGCCCCTCAGTGGCCTGAGACAAAACCAGCTTCCAGCGGAGTGTCAGCAATCCTCCTAAAAATGCGTAAGAAACGGGCACCTCTTACCCCTACTCCCACCCAAATATTCCCCAGACCACATAACCCTTTGCTTGGTGTCTAGCTTCAAATCTTAGGTTTATTGGAAACAGATACAAATACCAGTTGAAAAATATTTGTTGACTGTGCCCCGCCACCTATGATCTGTGGGAGTTTGGGGGAAGTTATTTCCCCCTTTGAGCCTTAGTTCTCCCATTTGTAAATTTCCTGTGAGATAGACTTAGAAAGACTGAGGAGAGCATTAGTGATAAATTGTGGAAAGGCCACCTCAGTGCCTGGTTACTGGGGGAATTACTCTTGTAATATATTTAACGTTCTCAACCTCTGGTTTTTCATTTGCATGAGAGATAATAATGTCTTCCTCTCAGGGTAAATCAAACAATGGTTGTAAGAATGCTTTATAAACTAAAAAGCCAGAAGGGGTCACTTTCACTAATTCATGCCAGGCACCATGCTAGGGTAAGTGATCCTGGAGATAAAGGGTGCCGGGAAAAGAGGGAGAAAGATTTGATTTTTAAAATGTTCAATGTGAAGCGTACTCACTGGTGCGCTAGCCAGGGGAAGCTGAGAGGAGCGAAGCATCAGGTCTGTTGTGGCCACGGCTGCCCAGTGACCGGAGAGAAGACGGTATTGCTTGGTCTGGGATCAGGTTTCAGATGATCTGCCTTCCGCTTCAGACAGACCCTAAGCCGAGAAAGGGAGCGAGCCCTTGAGTCCAGCAGCTTCTCTGTATATGCTGGGGTCCTCTGCATTTCCAGATCTGGAGTCAGGAGGCACTGGGGATGGTGCAACGTCATGGACTAACATTGTCATCATTTACAATAAGAATCACGATCTGTTTATGGCAGAGTCCCGTTTATCCAGATTCCAAGCAGCTGGAAAGGCCAAATTACCAGATGCTGCATTTTTCTTTCTTCTTATTAAACACCCAATGCTCTGCTTTTGGAAGTCCTGACAAGGGAAGAAGGTAAACATCTGGGCTTTAAGGAGGCAGACAGCTTTGTGGCGATGGCCGGATGACGCTTGTTCCCGTGCACAGCGCTTTACGGTTTTCAACGTGCGTTCCCACACATTCTCTCATCTGCCCTCACGCCAGCTGTGCCCTGCCTACCTCATGGGCTGTTCGGACAGAACAGATGGAGAGTGCTTTGCAGTTTTTAAAGGGCTGGGCAGACACTGGCTCTTATTACTGTGGTTCCCATTTTATAGATGAAGACATTGAGGTTCAAGGATGTGCTCAAAGCTGTAGACAGAAAGTGGCAGTTTCTATGCCTTCCACTTCCAAATAGCTGATTCCGGTGTCACAGACTCTACCTTCTACATGTGTGTAGTGGCGGCTGAGAGCTGGCGGACTGGATGGCCCCTATGAACGTGCCCAGAGGATTAAAATATTTTTGCTTTTGGTATTTCTTCTGTCCTGAATCTTTGGAAGTAGTATCTGTGCCGTAGTTAGAAAACTTGGTAGTTTTCGATTTGTCCAGAGTTGCTGTTCGCAGCTAAACCAGATAATGAGCTCACTATTTAATTCACAACGACTCTCTGGGCCCTTTCACCACATGCCGAGACTGGATACGTCCTAGCAATAAAAAGGAAGCTGATGATCATGACAAATATGGACACTGCTATTAGTAAACAGCCATCAAAACATGGCTGTAAATGTCAAAAAGGAGTCAATCTTGTATCTTAAAATAATAGCTGGTGTGTGTATATATATATATAGATATGTATACATATCTATATATATATATATACACTTTTTTTTTCTTGAAGAAGGAAAACAAAATGCCATTCTAGTTTGTCTGCATAGGCGTTAGGGGCTGGCGATGGTGGAGAGTAAACATGATGGTTTTAGTGGCCTTACCTGGTAGAATTTCTTCTGAATCAGAAGCCACAGAGATGTCCTGGGGAGGCCTTGCAAGGGCTAGCGCATCCATAACAGAAAGGTATGAGTTATTTTGAAAGCATTTACCCCCTTCGGCTCTGTTGGGCAATTTGCTTGCATTTCATCCATTTTAAAGTGCTGGTCCTGCGATCCGGAAATAATCAGATCCAAATTTTTTCGGTGCTTGAGGTTTCGAATGAGGAGGGGGGAAACCTGCTGGCCAAATGTCAGGCGCAGGGAGACAAAGAGAAACATGTATGTGTGTGGGTACACAAATATGATAGGAACATGTTGCGTCTACAGTCATGAGAGTTATGTATCCGACAAATCTTTAATAGACGTGTAGCGGAAATATAATTCCCAAGGATTCCCTAAGAATCTTGTGCGGCTAGAGTTTCTCTTCCCTTCCTGTCTCCCAGGCCCTCCAGAAGTTGCTAGGACTTGGCGTACAAATGGAAAGGAGACCATCACATGAGATGGTAACTTAATTTAGGCCTGGTTGCTGCCGAGCAGTTTACCTGTGGAATTTAGCCAGGCTGAGGTCTCAGGCTCCTTCTAGCTGTAGAATCCTGTCGATAGCTGTGTTGCTCCATCTGTGATTTGAAAACATAAGTTTCTTTATATGTTGTGGTTTCCCTTCACACTTCTCCTTCTGAGAAAAAAAAAAAAAAAAAAACCACCCCGGCTTTGAGTTATTCATCTCCCTGCGTTACATTTGCGTGAGAAGCTAAATGAGCCAGCACACTTATTTTTACAGTGCGTTAAAATCTCATTACAGGCATAAGTGCACAATGAATCATTTAAAAAAATATATTCTTATGTTCTTTGTTCTGAATGTTGCATAATTATCATCATTTTCTTCGGTTTTATTTTGTGGAGTTTGGCCAGCATCCTAGAAAAGGGGAGAAAAAGTTTTCAATCCTTTTTTGGATAGGATTAGGGGGAAAAAAACAACAAACAAATAAATACCAACTTTATTTGTAAGTTGACCAGTGACTATGGCTAATTGTGGCTTTTGCATAGAGAGGATCATCTCCCTTCCTTCTCTCAGTTTTCTTGGAAAAAATTCCCCCTTTTTTTTTTGAAGCCGATATGGTAGTATTTCAACAACCTC